GAGTTCTCCTCTCTCTTTTGCCTAGCACAACACTATGGAGTCTTTGTTAGAGCGAGGCGAGAAGCTTGATGACTTGGTATCCAAATCAGAAGTACTGGGAACACAGTCGAAAGCCTTCTATAAAACTGTGAGTAGCTCTGCCTGGCCCTCCCGGGCATCCCCTCCTACAAAGCCATTGCAGCTTGTTTCTCTGACACTCTTTATTAGGGCTGATCCTTTATTGAACCAAAATCAGATTTGGGTACCATTCCTTGGGATATGGGAACTTAAAGCAAGTGCCTCAGCCCCTTGCTGAGCAACACACTCTCGGGCATTCTGCTGCTTGACTAAGGCTATGCCTTGCAGGTTTCAGAGCTTCCACCCATTTCCCGTATTGGTTCCAGCTTTGGTCACCAGGGTTCTCCTGCTTCCTCTGTTGGGAGAACAGTTGGGCTAAGTCCTTGAGATATCAACAGGTCCCGTCTCTGAGGGGTTCTCAGTGCTCCAATTCATTCCCTTTCCCTTGGCAGAATACCTCCTACTGACTGACGTCCTCTCTCCAGGCATTCCTTAAATTCCCAATTGTGGACGTTTCTGTTGTTTTGTTTAATGTATGTGGGTGTTTTGCCTCATGGTTTTACGTGCACCACATACATATATGCCTACTGCCTACAGAGGCTAGAGGAGAGCATAGAATTCCCTGAAACTGGAGTTACAAGTGGTTGTGAGTTGCCATGTGGGTGCTGGGTTTTGAACCCTGGTCCTCTGGAAGAACAGCCAGTGCTCTTAAACTGCTGAACTATCGCCTCAGCCCCAGCACTGTGTGTTTGGCCTGTTGTGGGACAATAGTAGAGAAAAGTCTGCCTTTGCGTGTTTATGTTGAATTGCATTATTGGAGGAAGGTGACCAGGTGGGATTAAAAGGGTGGCCTTCTATCAAACACCAAGAACAGGTACAAAGCAGCCCTGCAAACATGAGCAGGAACCATGCTTCTCTGGAAGACGGCCAGGGCAGTCTGATAGCACTACTGAAGTAGTCCAATTTCCATTATTTCGTGTTTTGCTTATACATGGTCTGATTGAAGGAACTATATTAATTTATTAAAAATATTAGTAGGGTGTTACAGAAATCGTAAGGAGCCCAGCCTGGCAATGGAAATAGTCAGGTCATGTGGGGAGCTCCCTTTGCAGCCCTGAGGGCCTTCCCTTTGGTTGGTTTTACTTTCTCTGTCTGATTGCCTCATTCAACACCGCATCTCCTCAGCACCCTTCAAGCCCCAAGCCCTCCTTGGCACTCTTCAGCCTCTTTTTTGTTTGTTTGTTTGTTTGTTTGTTTGTTTTCTTTCAAGGCCCGGAAACAAAACTCATGCTGTGCAATCATGTGACGTAGCCCACAGAGGCAGGCGCTGGATCGTCACGTCACATCAGCCCCTGGAGACAAGCAGTGTCCTAGAAGAGGATCTGGAGCCAGGCACACTGGCTGCTTTTATTTTGAAGTTCCCAAGAGGAATGGAGGGATGCTTTAAGGGTGGGAACACTGAAGTTCGTATGTGTGTTTGTGACTTTGGGAAAGAATTTGAGGTCCTCAAAGATGTAATGTTGGGAAAATGAAACCATAAACTCTAAGTGGCTCTTATAGGTGCTGAAGGGCTTATTCTCAGCTAACTGTGGAAGGCTCTGTGGGAGGGAATCTTTTTCCTGATCCTTGGTATGACTTAGGATTTCATTTGTGCATTAACGATATTAACTCTCCAGTGAATGGGGTGGGGGGAGGGTCTCGGGTGATAGGGCTGAGGTAGGCACAGTTTGAACACTCCAACATTCTATTACCTTGCACTGTGGGGGCTGGGAGAAGGTCACCATGGCCAGTAAAAGGCAGTGGTCACTGGGTCTTACATGTTTAGTTTGCCTGTCTGCTAGGACTATCATCTGACAGGGGCGGGGCCCATGCTAAGTACCTTCATCCAGTACCACAAAGATGACTTGTGGGAGGTACTTAGAATGGGTTAAGATGGGTAAAATGTATAAGTAACAGTTTTATCAGCTAGCAGACTGAAAGCAGGCTGGGGCTGTTGTGGCGTTGGGAGGGTCAGATGGGAGTGTCCATCTTTGGGGAAGAAGCAGACACAGGTGCCTTCAGCTGTCTAGTATGGAGAAACACTCACCTGGACTTCCAGTTGGACTTTGAACATCAAGATCAAAGTAGTGAGTGCTGGCATCTCCCAAAGCTGGTTTTATTTGTCTCTGTGTCCACAAGATTGTTTTGACAACTGCCTGGAGCTTGCATGTTGGGACAAGTTATTCCTGTGGGTACCAGGACAAGTGCCAGCAGCCTGAACATTTCAGTGCCCACCTGTGGTCTGTCCAGTTCTGGCCTATAAGCCCCTTCCCAATCAGAGACAGCTGCAGGATGGAGGATATTGAGGGGTTGGTCTGAGCTGGTACCACTGCCAGCACAGCCTACATGGTGAACTCAGAATATTCCAGGTTTCACATTGCCTCTTCATGTTCTGCTGTGCACAAACTATTTCTGAGAGATCCTGTCTCCCCCAAAGCCACTGCTGGGATGTTGGCCTCTGATTTTTGAGCCAGAGCTGTCTCACTCTGATGATCCTTACCCTGAGCCTGCTGAGCTGCCCTCAGAGTCTCCATATGGGGAGGGAGATAGCTACTGTGGCTTCCAAAAATCCCCAGTAGTTGGTGTACCTGTCTATTTCTCTGAATACTGCTAGCCAAAGGGCTCAGGCTTCCCCCTCACCCCCCAGACTGGCCTGCCCATGTAATTTTCCCACTGCCATAGACTTGTCCAACCCAGGGCCCCTGGACAATACAGATCCAGTGTGTTGCTGGCACTCAAGGTGTAATAAATGGCCTGGGGTCCTGCCTCTTCCTCTTGTTGCTCTGGGGGTACTGGGGAGGAGTAGAGGTGGGTGGAAGTAGAAGTTTGTGGGGAAAAGGTAACCTTTGCCTACATATGGCTGCCCTTCAGGGTCTCACTGGCCCCACAGTGGATGAGTTGCCATGTGTTCCCTGTTCCCCCATTATATTCTAATGCTAAATCACTTGGCAAGAGTGTATTTTAATAATGCCTAATTTCTCTAAGTTCTGTTTGAAGGTTTCTGTCCAAATAAAATTGTCTTTTGAAATTCAGTGCTGTCTTGTGTTTACTGTTAGCTTTTGGGAAACCTCTGCTCCCCAGTGAGGGGTGGGAAGACACCAGGTAGTCTGCTCCTGTGGATACTAGGATCCTGTCCTGGCTGCACCTCTAGACCTTCCTGGTGGGAATGTTATTTCCTTTTTCTTGGTAAGCAGGTGAGGAAGATCTGGAGTAGCCTTGCCATCTCAGAACCCAGTTTTTTGCACACTGAAAAACTCGCCTGGGTGAGCCACCTCTGGGTGAGTTGCAAGAGTCCTGGGGAGGAGGCTTTGTTTGGCCCAACTTCCCCATTCAGTGCAGGCTGGCTGCAAACCACCTAGCCTCTACCAAGCTTGGGAAACTTAGGAGGGCTTGGGGGATTCCTTACTCCCGAGGGGCACAGGTAATTTGTGAGGGTCAGCATAGGACTATTCAAATCTAGAGTGTGGTTTTGTGTCTGAAGTGGCCTCAGTGGCTAGCAATTAGTGGTCTGAGGCCTCTGCCACCTCTGCCTCAGCAGGTCAGCTAGGCTTTGTAGTCTGTATTTGGTGTCCTTGTCATCAGAGACCCCTCTGCCTGGCTGAGGCTAGCAGCCCTGGATCCAGTGTGGTGCCTTTTCCTGATCTGTGGACCTGGTAGTATTCAAAGTAACCTGAGCCTTTTTGGAGTGACAGATGCCTAAGGAGCTTTGTTCAAAGTAAGTGCTGTTCAAAAATGATGACTGAAATGTTCCTCAAGAGTGTCTCCTGACTAGTGCTCAGCCCCGTACCAGATGGCTAACCCTGGGTACTGCCCCTGAAAACTGCTGCCTGCTTTGCTGTCTAGCACTCACAGAAAGGCTTCAGGAATAATGCATGGTGACGGCTCAGGCTCTGCAGCATGTTGCCTTGCTGAGGGAGGCCCGGCCTGGAAACACTCCTCCGATTACAGCTGATAGGTACCTGGAACCCTAGATAGAGGGCCCATTGCTGCTGCACCTGTGGGCACTGGCCTAGATTGTTTTGTATTAGCTCTTGAGACTTTCCTACCACCTGCTTGCCTGTGTACCTGTGAGCACTCCCCTAGATGTAGCCCACAGAGATGGTTAGGTAGAGTGAAGATGTTTAGAAACAGGAGGAGAGGCAGTAGGGAGCATTGGGCAGTTCTGGACTCCTTGGGCCTCCCTATCAATAGTGGATAGGATTGTGGATATAGGAGCTTGTCTTTGCCGACTTTTGAGCAAAGATTGAAGACAGGACAGACCTAGCATAGATTACTGGGAAAGATTTGCCCAAAGCGTGGGCTGAAAATGCAGGGGAAAGCCTGGGGGAGAGCCTCTCGGCAGCCAGGACAAAGTTGGCCCACAGCACTTGGCTATGGCCTTGGCTCTCTTGGGTCCTGGCTCTTGGAGTCCCTTTGCTCTTGGTTAAGATCTCAGACTTGAGCTCTCTGGTTGGGCCTCTCTTCTACCTATGGTGGCGACCTAATGTAAATGCTGTCTGGTGCAGTATGCCTGCATAACCCGTGGGAACAGACTCGGGGGTTACTTAGCACATGACCGTGTCTAGAACAGTCACTATATCAAATAGGAAGGTCGGGAAGGAGACCCAAGAGGATGCTTGGATACCGGACCTGGGGCTATCCCTGGTGCAGTGGCTGCCCTTTCTGAAGGCTACCCTTCTGGCTACTAGGATGGTGGGCAAGGACAGGGCTTTGGGGTGAAAGAGAAAGCTAAGCCCTACTGATCACCCCGAAGGGGCTTAGGACCCCATGTCCTTCCACCCTCACCATCAGGGCAGGGTCCTATGCCACCTCTGGGCTAGGGAACAAGTAGGTTTGTATTCTGTGGCCGGGAATTGGTAGGGTCCCAGCATAAAGCACTCAGCTGTACTGGAAACAAATTGTACTTTTTTTTTTTTTATTTGCAGTTTCCCGAGACAGAACAAAATAAGAATAAGTTTTGTACACCTACAAGGCTCAGAAAGAAAAGACAATGGAACTCAGCAAAAAGAGAGAAGAGAGGAGGGCCACCAGTACTGCAGGCAGTGACACGTTACAGCACTGGCCAGCGGTCGACGCCACCACCTGTGAACACCTAGCCAGGAGAGCAGGAGCGTCCTGCTCTTTAGAGGGTCATGCAAAAGAATTGTCCCCCAGAAAAAAAAAAAAAACAACCCAAATTATCCCAGACAGGCAGCTTTGTGGAGATAACAAGGTGGGTGGGAGACGAAAGGAGACCCCAGGATGCCAGGGTGGCAGGCCACAGGGCCGCACACTGTCCGTGGCAAGCCCTGCCACTGTCCCATGGCCTTGGGCCACTCGAGGGGAGCCTGGCAGGTGTTTACCCTGTGTCCATGGGTAGGGGACAGCTGTCCTGGGCACAGTGTGGATGAAAGGTGGTATCCACTGAGTGTCTGGAGGTGGACAGTCCCCTTGCAGTTAGGATCCTGTGTCCCGTTCCCCACTTTGTGCCCCTCCCTTGACTTGATTTGTAGTAAAAGATAAAGAAAATCCTGGTTGAAAATGACGTGAACTTAAAGTGGGCAGCGTTGGGGTGGAGGCCCATGGATCTCTGCAATCAAAGCCTCTGACCACCCCACCCATCCCGGCTTCATACCTGTTTCCCTAGCCTGACTTTGTAACATGTCCAGCTTTGATGATTCCCTCTGTCACCAAGGGCCAGGGCTACCCACAATGAGTCCAGGCAGCTGACACTAGGAGCACCACTGGGACCTGGAGGTGGCACACTGTTCTAATGGATCCTCCCTCCACCCACTGGTATCCAGGCCCCACACCCATATATCTCTGCCCCTAGCCTGCCTTCTCTCTAAGCTGTGTCTCTGGCCTACCTGGAAGGGCCTTACACAATACAGCCCTAACCAATTTTGGCCTTCCATGTGCCTCTAGCTGGCACATGCTCTGGCTTCTTCTTTAGCCCCAGGACAGGAAAGCACTCCCATTTCATCAAACACTTGTATGGACCTGCATTGCCCAGAAACCTAAAACCCTACTTCTGGCCCCTCTTTTCCACATTCTGCAACATTTAAACAAGTCTCGAGCACCCAGACTCCAAGCTCAGTGGACAAACACCCCAGACGCAGCCTGGCCTGCTCCCAGCATCCATCCAGTATCTCAGGTTCTCCGTCTTCATTAGGGTCTGCTGCCAACTTCAGAGAGGAACTGCCTAGGCCAGGGGTGGGTCACTGTTGCTCAGCTGCTGGTGGCAGGGAAGGGACAAGTACCCCAAACAGGAAGGAGGCCATCCTCTGCCCAGTCCTCTCTTCATAGCTAGACGGGTAGGCACTGCAGCGAGCGTGCCTTCTTCACTAACCCCTGCCAGGCAAGAGTCTTGGAGGCAAGATACATCCCTCCCTCCAGACCTCCCTCCCCAAGAACTGGAGCTGAGAGCCCAGGATCTTTTCTGATCACTTTGAGGACAAACTTCTACACATTCCATGGGGCAAAGGTAGGTCCTTGGCTAGAGTAGCACCCTCCCACCCCTTCATGGGATGAGGGACGGGTAGGGGAAAGCAGGAACAGCAGCAACTCTCAGGCACAACTAGCAGGAAAGGAGGCAGCCCCCAGCCCTTCCCAAGACACCTGACACCACAACAGCCAGGTTAGCACATGGGGCCCATGCATGGAAGGAAGGATGCAGACGCCCAAGGTGTGGGGTGAATGCGGTACCTACAGACTAACACGGTCGGCATGGGCACATTCACGCCCTGAGGGTCCCCAAAGCCAGGAGCGCAACGGACACATGTGGAGCTTGGGTGGGGGGTGGCCCCACAAATGCCAGATTTTTTTTTTACAGCGTTTTCCTTTCTTTAGGTTGGTTTGTTTGTTTTCCATTTCATCCGATGCCAATATTTTGTTTGTTTTGTTTGCGTGTGGTTGTCGTTGTCATCATCTTATTTTTAAAAACAAATCACATCTGGTCTTGTTTTTTCTGCAGACACAGGCACCAGGGGAGGGGACGAGGCAGACACAAACATGCGACAGGCAGGCCGTGCGCCCGAGGGCGGCTGGGCTCCAAACACCAACTCTGTCCGGTGAAACCAGGCGCAGCTCTGAAATGGGGCAGGTCACCCTCCTCAGCACAACATACCACCCTAACCACCCAAGCCTTTGCTATTTGGAAAAGGTTCTGGCAGGAATCCAGTAAGTTAATGTCCCCACTGGAAGGAGCCTGCCAGGAGAGCCAGTTGCTACCCCCCACCCATTTCCTAGGCTGCCTTTGCCATGGGTTAGTGGTAATGATAAGTCGAGTTCAGGACCCACTCTGAGCTGCCAAGCTCTGGCTTGTGCAGCCCTTCTGGCCTCGTCAGCTCACCCATCGGGGTACCACACACAAGTGCTGGGTCACACCCTAGGTACTCACCTCACTGCAGTGGGGCCACTGGAGCGCCCGAGCAGTGGAAGTGTACATTCTGCCACTTGCCATCACGGCGATGCCACACACGGGTCTCTTCGGACTGGCTGGTGCGGGGTCTGCCCTGGCCGTCGATGTACTGTGTGAGGCGGATGTAGGCGATGCATGCTGCATCCTCACCAATGACGTGCACGTGCGGGTTCAGGATAGTTGTGTGGATCGGCTTGCTGTTCTTGGCCAGCACTGTGGACAAGCAGGTCTTCTGAACTGACAGCATCAAGTACAGACACGTCTCACCCCTCCCACCTTGAGTTCCCTTCACAGGGGCTGCCACAGCCCTACGGCTGACTGAGGGGTTAAGGGACCCTCCTGATGGTGTCTCCCCTTCATGCCCACACCAGCCTCTTCACTCACGGTTCTCGAAGTAGAATCTGTGGAAATCCATCCCTTCGACCAGGTTGCCCAGAGCTTCAGGCTCAAATGAAGTCAGGCCTGGGTCACAGATTTTCCTGGGGGCCAAACCCAAGTGAGGAGGGGCCCCATCCTCCATCCTCGCCCTCCATAACCCCCCACCCAAACCCCCCCGGAGACTCACGCATAGGCCTCAAAGTCGCCATTGTTGACGGCCTCAATGAGCTGCTCTGTGGTCTTGATGATTTCCTGCTTCCGGGCTGCAGGGAGAAAACAGGGATGACCACTAGGCACTAGCCAGTCACAGCCTTGGACAGCCCCACTTCCAGCAGAGCCCAGATAAGGGGTCTTGGAAGATCAGGAGCTACAGACGGTGCACGCTGCTCCCACCCTGGCTCAGGTCTGTCCTCTCTAGAAAGGACGTCCAGACTCTGGCACCTGTACCCACGTTGTCTTGATCATACTGGTCCCTCCTGTGCCTTCAATGGCTTCCTCATTTCTACATGCAATAGCTATTTATCAAATAAAATGTTCATAAGAAGCAAATACCCTATCCCGATTAGAAAATGTCTAAAAACTACAGATGAGGGAAAAAGCCTGCCCATGATCCCTCCTGCGGCTGGACTTCCATTCAGCCTCTCCCCGCCCTGTTCTTCTGCTTTAGCTTTTAACAGTGCCTTGTTCAGTCAATGGCCTCTCCCTCCAACAGCTCTCAGGGAAAGAGAGCCGTCATCAGTCAGTGTGGTCAGAGGCTTCAGGGTTTTTGGATATGAGCACCAGTGGCAGTCAGGGTAGCTTATGAGCAAGGACAAGATAGCCTGAGACGCTTCAGAAAGATCAAGTTGTCTGTCCACTCTGTGGTTTCCCAGCCTAGCGCTGGGTCCACACAAACCCACCCTGAATACCTGCACCCCTCGGGTTCACTGCTTCTCCTGACCACTTGCTCTTGGCTTTGAGATGAACTTTTTGTTTTAATCATGAAGAATTTAAAGCATGAAGGCACAGAGACTAGCTCCATGGCAGGGCTTCTAGGACCAGTGGGTATGAGGGTGCCCACCCCATCAGGTGCCCTGAAGGAGGACTGAATCCACAACAAAGGTTGCCTGGTTCACAGGGAGCCCACAAATGCCGTGCATGTGCCCGCACAAGGGTATCTGTGTCTCCTAATGAATATATGAGCTGTGATTACTCTGGTGTCTTAGACACTGACAGCAGATCTTGCTGGGTGTCACCTTTGGGGACTCAGGTACACTTACATAAGAGCACGTGTATATAGAATCTGCAGCACATGTGTTTGTGCGCATGCGGTTTGTGAGTGTGAATGTTTGTGTGCGTATGAGAAGGCACACACGAGTGTCGATGTATCACGGAGGTGTGTGCCTGTATGCGTGCATACACATTTGTGTGTGAGATGCATGTAAGCGTCTTCGTGTTGTGTATATGCATGCTGTGTGAGCACCCATGGGGTTCCCCTGTCTTGGAAAAGGCCCCTCTCCTAACCCAGGTCCCCTTCTGCTATCTTGTGTCAGTTCCTTCCCTATTCTTAAGTCTAAATCATGTCACCATTTCAACTCAGGGTAAGGTCATCACCGCGGCCCTCCCTGGAATGCTAGTTCTAGGTAGTGAGCTCCAGGAGGCCCTGTGTTGCCTGTGCTAGCCACCAGCCATGTACCCTGCTCTGTGAGAGTACCGAGGCTCTGTCCCAAACTCGAAATAGCTCTTCCTGTCTTTACCTTTTGGATGCCAGGCAGCATCTGGCACTTCAGACCCCAAAGCAGTCCCTGCGCTTGCTTCCTGGTGTCCATCGTCCCTGGCACCCTCACCCCATCATACGTGTTCTCTCCGAAACTGCCTCAGGCTGCTGGTTTCTATTCTTGCAGGCAGCTCCTTCACCAGGTCCAAGGGAAGTGCCCTCTGCACCCCATACTTCCCAAGTACCTCTGGGGTAGGGCCTGCTAATCTCATCTTAATAGACTCAGCTGCCCCATTCCTCCTCAGGAGTCCCTCAGCACACAGCACAAGTGGTTGGAAGTAAGTTAACAGCACTGTTTGGATTCAAGCATGCTATGATTCCACCTTTCACTGTGGTAAGTGGACTAATTTTCTGTTTAAAGAAGTTATAGGTTGTTTTCAAACAAACAGTAGTTAAAAGTGGGGGTCAATGTTAAATAAAATTTATTTAACATTAAATAAATGTTAAATATCTATGACCACAGCACAAGTCAGAGGTGGGGAACTGCACTGGAGTTTAGGAACAGTGTTCTTGTGAGAGCCACCAGCCCATTTGACAGCTAGGGACATTGAGGCTATCTATGGGTGGGAGATGGATAGCTCCTGACCTGCAGAATGGCTGCTGCCCAGACCCCAGTGGGAATCAAACAGGAAGGAGGGGTCAAGAGTCTCTGCACACAGGGATAGCTCTCATGGAAAAGCCTGGGACCAAGGACAAGCTGCCCCTATACCCTGCAAGTCCAAGAAGAAACCAAAGAGGTGGGCAGGGTTTGGCTGGGGTGGGAAAATTACTTAGACCACAGCTCTCCTGTGGGAAGAGGCTGAGAGTATCAGGGTGGGACCAGAGAAGGTTGGGTGTCCCTCCCACTGGCCTAAAGCCCCCAACATCACAGCTGTCTGGCAGGGCATCTGACTAAGGGATCAGCTAGGATCAGCCTGAATCCTGTGTAATCCCTGACGAGGAAGTGAGGCCTGGGGTGTAGAGAGCATGGAGTGGGGGGAGCTTGAGCCTGAAGAAACCTATAACCTAGTTGATGGGTTGTAACTGTCCCCCAAAAAGAGAGGACCCAATACCATCTGACATTACCCACATTTTCCTACATTTTACTCAAAGTCTTTTCTTTCCTTAAGCCCAGCCCCTCACAGGATGGCAAGATGCCACCATCCAGCCATTCTTGAAGCCCCCTCCTGCAGGACTCCTTTCCCTAGCCAAGCCCAGCACAGACCCTACAAGGGCAGATCAGTGTCATAGCCTCTAAAGTACTGTGGTCACTTGGTGTTCCCCACAGACCCAGTCTAGGACCCAGCCCAGGAGCAGCCACCTGCTCATAGCACAGACCCCTAGGGCAGATCATGTTCCCCAACAAAAACAGTGTGACTCTTGAGATCAGATGAGACAGCACACAGACAGGGCAGGTGCTGTCCAGAAGCTGTCTTGCAGCCACCTGTGGTGAGCATCCCACCTCTGCTCTGTAAGTAATGACTGCTATATAACCCCCTGTCACCGTCCCCCTTCCCCAGCACCAGAAACAACCTGACTGGCTCCTTACACCTCAACTCTGATCCTCTGACCATGGAGTGCTCTAGGGGATTCATGACCTCCAGAGACTACCCCTTACACAGCATGAATCTGTTATTCCCCACTGCCACTAAACCCTGCAAACTGTGGATGTCCACCCTTGTGGGCCACTGTGATCTTCTGTCTTCTATGGCTACCTGCAGCACTCCCCCACCCCAGCCTAAGAGGCGGAGGTGATAGGGGTGGGTCACCCCAAGCCCACCTCTCACAGTTACTCACCTAGCCACTGCCCTGCCATGCTGAGGCCCTGGCCCAGCCTCTTCTCTGAAGGCATCTCAGCACCACCCCCAGCCCCGCGTCTCCCCGGAGGCGGGGGAAGCGGTGGCTGCAGCCCTGGATGTCATCCATCCCTGTAAGTGATACTGGCGGACAGTCGGCAGACAGGCTGAAGAGCCACCTGCCTGTGTTGCTCTCCCTAACTCGGCCTTAGCCTTGGCTGCCCCGCCCCCCAGTCCAGCCTGGCAGCCAGCATACCAGAATTCCCAGGGGTTTCTTTTCCTGTCCTCTTGTCCAAAAGTAGCCTTTCTCAAAGGCTACTCGTGCACTGGTGGGCACCTGCTCGCCACTCTGTCCTGTCAGAATGTGGTGGCTGGCCACATGGTAGCAAGGGCTCAGTGACGTGTTTGGAGCTTTCCCACATACTAAGCTCCCACAGACACATATTTCTTGACCATAATGTGAATTTACTGAAGCCCACTGCTTTCTTCTCGTATTTTGACATGATTCCCTGACAGATGCCACGACCCCCTATCTCTCCACAAGCTAGTTATTCCCAGAGTCAGGCTGACCAGTCACCACGATGGGGGCTTGCCCCTCCATGGAGCTGCCAGGGCCACTTAAAATGCTACTTACATGGGGTGGGCAAGGGGCCAGGGAGAGTCGGAGATGGGCAGGGTGGGGGGCCCACTGGTGGGAGGCCCTCAGCTTCTGGGGTCCCTGAGCCCCGCCTCACTGAGTTGAGGATGTCAGAGATCCTGGGGGCTGGGGCAGAACAGACAGACATGAATACAGGTGGGAGGGACATGCAGGGAGGAGACCTTCAGACTGGGAGCCAAGCTGGGTGTTAGAGCATCAGGAGACACAGGGACATGGGGGAGGGGAGAGATCAGATGGGGTGTGGGGACATAAATGTTGGGGGTGGAGGCACCAGGAATGCAGATGCTTTTGCCTGTTCTAGTATGCTGAGCTGGAAGCTGCCAAGGGTACAGGACGCCCTCCAAGGAGAGGTAACCTGGCCTCAAAGAAGCCAGAGGCCATCTGCTGCAAGTGACTGACCTTTGAGAGGTACTTGACAGGTAGGTGGGGAGTGGATGAGAGGGAGGAGGGATGTTCAGATGGGAGGACTGTTTTGGCCCGTGTGGGCAGCCCAGGCCAGTGGAAGGCCAGGCTTTTTGCTTCTTCTGAGTATCTCCTAACTCTATGACCCCCGGTTGGGGTTCCCATCCTGGCACCTTCTTTGAGCTCCCTTGCCTGGAACAGTGAGGTGAATGGCGTTCAGAGATAGGGTACATCAAGAACCAAGGGCTGCTCTGGGGTACTGTCACCAGGGCAGGGTAGGGTGTGAGTGCCTAGTGAGGCTAGAAAATTCTTGGCACAGATGGGCTAAGGGCTCCACCCTATTACCCAGGGGTGGGCCTGAGATGAAGTGAGGTGAGCGTCGTGCAGGAAAGGCACAGGGGTCTGAGATGAGTCAGAGGCATTGAGCCCAAAAGGAGCAGCCAGGGAGCTGCCCAGCCGTGTTAGCGCATATGCCTGGAATAAGGCATCCCGGTCGGGGGAGCTTGGCCGTGCATGGCGGTTGCAGCAAGCTGAGCGCTGGCCATTCTCAGGGAGTCCTTCGTAGCAGGGGCAGCAAGTCTGGGGCTACTACTTACACGGGGTGGGCAGGGGGCCTAGGAGACCCGGAGACAAGCAGGGTGGGGGCCCCACTGATAGGGGTCCCTCGGCATCTGGGTTTCCACAGCCCCTTCTCACTGAGTTCAGGATGTCAGAGATCCTGGGGGCTGGGGTGGAACAGACAGACGTGAACACAAGGCAGACAAACATACAAGGAGACAACAGAATCGACAGGATAGGGGAAGGGGGGGGGTCCCTGCTCTTACCAAAGGGAATCTGGGAGCCAGCTTCCTATTTGGTGCCAGGCTCAGCAGCAAGAAGCCTCCAGGGATAGAGGGAGGTTTGAGTGAGCCCTGGAGGCCTAGAAGTCATAGCCAAATCCTTCAGGGACTGTCTAGTGGCCGTGAGCAAAAAAGTAGGCCAGAATAACATCCACACAGAGCAATAGAGCCCTCTGTCTGGACAAAAGAAACCATGGGGAGCCCCAGTCTAGGGGCTGTGTGAGGACAGAGCTGAGGCCAACAGTCCAGGCCTGTTCAATCCTTGGCTCTTGAATGGCCCCTCAGAGAACTGCCAGGCCCTTCCAAGTTATCCCCACAGCAGCGGGGCCCAGGCTACTTACACGGGGCTGGAAGGGGGCTAATGGGAACTGGAGATGGGCAAGACAGGGGGCCCTCGGCTTCTGGGGCTCCTGAGCCCCTCCTCACCAAGCTCAGGACATCAGGGACCCTGGGGACTGAGGCAGAACAGAAGCAAGCAGTAGATGGTAGACATTCAAGACAGAAGATGGCAGAAAGAGCCACGAGGCACAGGACAGTGGAAAAAGTTACAGGTATAGAATCCCAGGCCACTGCTGGGGACCTAGGGGACAGAGGTGAGGTGGTCACTCTTGGGGGTACCCCAAGGTAGGTATTAGGAGGGTTCATTTTGGGGGCCTGAACCAGGCCCTGCAGACATTAGGCTAGGATTTTAGAGTGCTCCTCTCTGAGCTGCCCTGGTTCTGCCAGAGCCTAGGTACATGGCTGAGGTAAGAGTGCCCTTCATTCCCGAGGCTTCCCCTGCCCTTACTCCCAGCCTCGTCTGCTACTTGCAAGCCTGTCCCCAGCTACCTCCTTCACAGCTCAGTGTTCTACTGGCCAGCTCAAGGCCAGAGTCTTTGACAGGGAGCTATGGGCAGTGTCCATGGTGCTGGCTCTGGGGCCTGCTTCAGCTTGCAGGGGAGTGTACTCTCCTAAGTTCAAGGACCAGTGTCCTGTGCTAATTTCCACTCTGGAGTGGGGAGGAATCTTAGAGACAGCATTGTAGCTGGGGAGGAGCAAATGGGTAAAGCTCTGGATCTAGGGGCCATTCTAGGGAAAGCTTAGGGCTCCAGAGACAGCTTGAAGCTGTCAGCCCTCGTCCCAGAGAGGCAGAGAAAGTGGGAGAGGCTAGGAGGCCCCACTCACTGATAGCAAGCTGTCATCTGTGAACACACACACATCACTGGCAGGGCTCAGGGTGTGGTACCGAAGTCCACCTTAGGAGGGAGCTCCTGAGTCATCAAGGGAAACAACATCGGTCAGCCATCTGGCCACTCAAGCTGGACAGAACCAACGCTGAGGAACTTTAAGAGAAGAACGGCATTCTGATCTGATTTCACCCAGTACTTCATACCCTGTGAGAACCCAGTTCCTGGCTCCCAGAATGGAGAACAGTGACTCTTCATATGTGTGCTACACCTGAGATACCCCAGCCATGATGGCCTGAACATTCTTTGACTCACACCAGACAGGCCCTGATATCAGGCCCTGGAGTACTGGAGCACTAGTCTGCACAGCAGGCCCAGAGATGCTACAGAAGGCCCACCCACTACCAACATGCCCAGGCAAGGCATCTCTGAAGGTACCTTTGGCATCTTCATCCTCTATGGTTGTGTTGGTGCTATCGGAAGATTCCTGAGGAGACAGAGGAGACAGGGGTCAAGATGGACCAAGCACAGGTGGGACACCTCTAATGGTGAATCTGGCCTGGGTTCCAGGTGGGATCAGAGCCTGGCTACTCCTGAGGATTTTAGGAGACAGACCCTCTCAGAAGAAAATCCTCAGGGTGCAGGAAACTGGGGAAAATGCTCTAACTCTGTATGTCCTCAGGAGGGCTCCTATCCCTGCAGGCCACCACGTCTCCAACAGCAAGAGCCTCAGTGTCACCTTCCCTCAGAGACTCAGAGACACACAGCCAACTACAAGAGAGCAGGCCTCTTGAAATCCCAAGATGGAAAAACAAGGGACTTGACTAACTTTTAGTGGTGGAAGGCCCTGAAACTTGGGAGTGGGCAGACATGGTTAGCAGCTTTTAGGTGAGGGATTCCTTCCCCCGGAAGAGATGATACCTCAGATGCCACTGCCCCCCCCCCCCCCAGGCCTGGAACTTCAGCAAGGCCCAGCCTCTACCACTTGAAAGTGGTAGAGGAGCCCAATGCCAACATGTCCCCAGAACATCAAAGAAACCTCATGGGTCCTTGGTATGGACAGACTGAATCTGGGTCTGGACCAACACTGAGGGCCTTCAGATGCAAGGTCAGGCCTTACCCCGGTCCAGAAGGTTCCTCAGAGGGAGTATTACCTCACCTGACATGAGGGACCCAAGGGTACCAGCCACTGAGGTAGGAGGAAATCCGACATTTGGCACTTAGCACTGTGGGCATATATAGCTGCCCTTGGTCCTTGGCATGGAGAAGGGCCAGGTGCAGGTTCTAGCCAAACGAAGTTGGGGAACCACCACATCACCTTGTGAGATCATTAGGGAGCCAGGCCTGGTACAAGTCTGCCCTACCAGCCCAGCATACTTGCTGTATTGTAAAGGGTTCCAACACTTGCCTGTTTCTCCCACCTCACAGCACGCCAGCCCCTCCCGGCCCCAGGTGATGATGCCGATGTGATGGGGGAGCGGATGGCAGAGCAGAGAGGAGCAGGAAGCACTGGGGCCACACCAGGGGGTGCAGGTGGAGGGAGCAGAGGCTCCTGGGAAGCAGGCCGGCCCCAAGGTCTGCAGCAGAAGGCCCTTGCAAAGCCTGCTGTGAGCCAGCCACATGGTGACTGGTGAACTCCCTTCAAGCGAGTCACTGTGTCCTGCCGTGGCCTCAGGCAGGCAGGCTTATGGGCTCTGCCCTACCTTTAGGGTCACTACACATCTGCTCTCTATCATAGGCACAAAAGCTTCTCCCAGGTCACCGTCCACACCCTCCTCCTGGGCCCATACCTCCTGCCCAAGGAAAGCGTGAGGAGTGAGGTGTGGCAGTACCTTAATCCCGTCCACTGGGTTATGGATAACGGTGGTTTGAGGCTCCTATAGAGGGCGGCAGACAGAGGAAGGAAAGAGAGAGGGAGAGTGAGAAAGAAGGAAGCAGAGAGTGGGGAGCCAGGGAGCCAGAGGAGTGGGCAGCCACCGTGGTCTGCCAGAGAGAGTGTAGAGGAGAGGGACAGGGATGGAGGCAGGAGGCGGTCAGCAGGATGGCCTGGTAGGGATGGAGGCAGCGGTGGTCAGCGATGGCCCTGGGTGAGTGTAGAGTAGGCCCGACAGATGTAGCTGGCAGATCTGCCCAGGCCAGAGGCCAGGAAATATGGAGCTCGCGGGGCCTGAGAGAAACTGTAGGTGTGTGTGGGTTCTGCTTCTAGGAGTTCTCCCCACCTCCTGCTCCAGCGTGGGAGTGGGCACAGGATTGGAGATGTTGTAGGGGTTAGGGTGGCATATGGGATGGACTGGGTCAAGGTGGGGCTGGCTGTGAGGCCGGTGTGAGCCACCCCGGGCACCAGGTGAGCTGACGCCCGGCACCCTCCCGCCATAACCCTACTGCTCTGAGCAGCTCTCCGACTCTAGCCAGGATGGATCTCTTCGGTGCTCGCAGATTTGGCAAAGGTTTCCTATGGGGAACACTTGCATAAGGCCTGTGGGGGATACCAAACATGCTACCAGCAACCTCCTAAGACCCACAGTTCAGAAGGCAGATGCCTGAGACTACAACTCCACATCCCTGGGAAGACCAGCTGTGAGGTTCACCTGTACAAAAGTCACCCAGGGCAAGGGGGCCAGAGATGGCCCAGTACCTTCTCAAGGAACAAGGAAGAATATAGTGGGGGTATCACCGGCACCCTTAGCCCTCCTCAGCAGGGGTTCCCCAAGCTTCCCTCTCTGTAATCCACAGACCAACATGGTATATGGCACTGACAGAAGTAGTCACAGGTGGGCAAGCCCACTGTGCCTTCAACCACACCCCTCCCCATTACACCACCATGGCCTTGCTGCTCCCCAGTAAACTCAGGATGCGCTACTCCAGGGTACAATATGTGAAGAGCCCAGCCTGGGCCCCTCTGAGCTGGGTTGGCCAGCTGTACAAGGCGAGGTCCTTGCAGAGGAGAGGAATCCACAGCAGGCTGCTGGCCTCCCTCAGTGGCATCCAGACTGCTTCTCACTAGAGCTTCTTAAGGTAAGGTTGTCCAGACATCATCAAACTGGGAAGTCATATCTCTCTCCAGAATCTGGGCTCCTGGGGGTCCCAGGGAAAGGCACCCAAGCAGTTTTACATCTGGATGCTCTGGGGTACCCTGACAGTGACCTCCTCTTGGCATTCAACCCCCCCAGTTCCATCCTGTCTCCATGTGGGACTGGTTTGGTCAGAGACCACTCTGACAGTGTGATGAGGCAGGGGCGTGGCTCAGTACCAGGGCAGCAGGAGGGAGGGATCCTTTGGGGCTGGTGATGGCCGAGCTGTTTTTGGTGCTGTTTGTCTGGGGCTGTGGAGAGAGTGAGAAAGAGTTGTTAGGAAGAAAGGATACCCTCCCTGCTCAAGCATCTGTTGGGCCGTGGTGAAGCTAGAACCTTGGGGTCAGCGGCAGAGCCGCAGGTTCTAGTCTCTGCCCCTGTATCCCACAAAGGGCTTGGCTGATGCCTCACCTTGACTCCATCTGCTTTCTTGTTGAGTAAACTCTTGGCTGCTGCATTGGGGAGGAAGGAGGGATCGTAAGTTCTTAGGGCCAAAGGTCACTGTTGCTCCCACCTCTCCCCCACCCCTTCCCTTACTTCAAGAGTAAAGTCCCCTGGGACCTGAGGTCCAATAACCTGAGGCCACAGGCAGGTGTGGCCTTGGCACCTGGCCCTTGGAGCAGCAGAACCTCCAGTGTTGCTGAGCCAAGCTACCCTGGAAGCCTCACCTAGGACCACCCTGCCCCCCAGCATCTTTCGTGGTTCAGGAGCTCCCTGCAAGGCACTTAGGAGCCTCCTTGTTCTGTGCCTATGACTCCTGAAAGGCAGGCAGGATGATCTCCCTCTGCCCCCATTTCCCAGGACGGCGCCAGGTCAGGATTGGTAGGCCTCAGGATGCAAAGGGAAAGACATGCTCAACCTGGCCCTGCCCCCTGCACTCCTGTGTTCCCGCTAGGATGGTGAGCCAAAGCTGGCTGTCACACCAAAGAGCCCAGCCCCCACCCCTTCACCTTCTGCACCAACAACCTTCTGCACCAGGGCTACACCGCTTGGCCTCCCTGTCCTCCCCGTGAATGGCCCTAGCAGCCCTTGCCATGGGACTACTTCTTGGTGGCCGTGACAGGGGCCAACACCAACCTCTTTGCCCATGATCCCTGGCAGACACCTGGGCCCAGAAAATGGAACCCTTGGTTCCAACACTCCCCTCGGAGATCAGGACGGTCCTGCCTTTGCCCCGCCCTTCATCCTCAGAACTTGCTCCCGCTAGAGCAGAACTTAGAGATTTAATTACAGAATTAAAACAATAAAAAATAGAGACCGAGAGAGAGAAAGTCAGCTTACCTTACAGAAAAGGAAAGGTGAGGAGAGGAGGGAGTGAGGAAGGAAAAGAGGAAGAGAGAGAAAACAAGATTTGTGTTGGTTCAGAAAGGCCCCACACGGGGCAGCAAAGCCAGCCTGTCCCCAAGAAGAGCCAAGTGGCCATTTGGCCAACAGCAGGTTAGAGGCAGTCATGGCTGGCATAGCACTGGGAGCATGGTACACAGTCCCTTGTCCCCAAAGCCCTTACCCACATGTCCCATACAGCTGGACACTGGCTGACCATCTGACCTCAGGCTCTCTTGCCTACTAGCAGGGAACCTACAGCAGGCATGGGGACTTGGGGACAGCCTATTTAGTCCTGGGGCTGTAACATAGTCAAACATGGTCTTGTCATGGCAGCAATACCACTGCTCAGAAATGTAAACTTGTAGGTCACATTCTTCTTGAGTAAGAGCTCTGAAGGGTTCTGTGTGCCCACAGCTCTGAGGGCAGTTTTTTTCAGAGCCCAGACCTGGGTCTCACTGCTGCCTGCTGACTACCTCCCTCCCTAGCCAGATGACACAATTTGAGCCTCCTATCACCACCAGGCTCTGTATGCTGGGACATCGGGACATGGTGACCTGAAGCCACATACCGCCTTGGAACCTGCAGGGCTCTTGGAGTACCACTGTGGTGGGCACTGGTTCCTGACAGCCTTCTCTCATCATGGTTTTGGTGCTTGTCTCAAAAATTCTATCACAAGCAGGACTCTTTGACGTAAAGCTGCCCTTCACATGTCATCTGCAGGCTTGGGGCTCCCTAGACCTTCAATCCCAGGGTAGCCCAAAGGGCTGCTCCTAGGGCTACAAATGTTGACTTCCCATTTCTCTACAGAGTGGACTTTGAAATGCCTCTGATATCTGGCTAGACCCACCCTAGAGTTGCCTGGCGTAGCCCTCTCCCTTGTCCATGGGTAGCTCTTCTCCACCTTCCCACATGGCTCATCCTTAGAGACACCTGCACTGCAGCAGCATGGCCTTCCTTGGCATGAGTACTTGGCATGAGCCTGACACCTGCTGTCTACCGACACTTGGGCCTGACAAAGCTGGGTCCCTCCCTGAAGCCCAAGGAAGTAGGACTGTCCTGTCTTGAGGATACTTGTTATGGCTTTCTGGGCAGCAGGGGAAAAGGAACATTTCTAGAAGGTGGCAATTTCAACAAATTCAACAGGCCATTTGCAGAAGGCAGGCTTGATCCTACCCTCAGCAGACCATACAGCCAACCCAGCATGTCCCCTGTTGGATTCTGCGTTAACCTAGTGAAGGCCAATATTGGTCTGAGATTCAGTAGTGGTGTTTCGGCATCTCTCAGACATCCTTGCAGGGTTAGGCCTGCGGAGATCCCAGGACTGCCTCTGATTTTAAAAGTGTTCCACTAAGTCAAGTCTATGAAAACCACAGTTCCAAGCTATGTTACTGGAGATGGTATCTGTGGGAAGAGGACAGGGTTTATTTGGGGTGAATACGCTACTACCAAGCGTGCTACACCACACTTGGCTCGGGCCTAGAGAACCCAGGCAAACATCAGTGTCCTCATTCCTGTTCCTCTTACTGGTGGCCCACATGTGCACTAGCCATGGCACATGGGTGCATGGCCCAGCCTCCTTGATTACATGGGCTCAGGTCATATGCTTCCTGAAGGCTGTCTTTCTCTGGCTCTCATGTCTGCCCTGGATTAACTACAGTTCCCTGCAGCCAGGAGCCTGTGTACTCCACCTGCATAGGAGGAGGCACTTCTGTGGTGTCTCAAGTCAAAAGGATTTAGAAGGTGCAGCCGGAGCCAAAAGTGGACTAAACAACCATGAGATTCCAGATACCTAGAGTTGGGGCTTTTCAGTCTTGTGCTCCCAACTCAGGAGGGCATTTTCCACTTCCAAGCCTCAGGCCAAGCAATTACCTCCACCCCACAGCCAGCCTGACAGTCACAAGGCACCTTATGGCACATCTGCTCAATGGGGGAGGGGTGGTGAAAGCGAAAATGCAACGCGCTCTACAGCAAGGGTCTTCCTGCCATCAGGGTGCTCTGCCACACTGGAGTGCGGACAGCATCACGGAGAAGAAAGACCCCCAACATGTGCCCTTAGGGTGTAGTTGGCTGTGCCAACCTAGGAGTAGACGGGACCTTCAGCTCTGCCTTGCCCTCTGTCTAGTCACTATGGACAGCCATGCTGAGCTCTGTGGACATGCACGGACCTTCCTCCAGGACAGAGTGACCCTCAGCACCTGGGGCAGAGCCATGACATGCAGGTGGCCTCATGCAAGGTCACCCTCGCTCACTTGCAGGCAGGCGAGCATTGCAGCAGAAGTCCTGGGTGGAGCACGGCTCAGAGGTGACCTGTCTCACACCACTGTCCCCTGGCAATAGGGCCGCCCTGGCAGCCATTATCTTCATCTTTTTTTTTTTTTTAAATAAACCTAGCCCCTCATGGGCTTCACAAGGCTATATAGTACGGACTTGGGAGCATCCACACTGGGCCCCTGTGGGCAGAACAGGCCTAGGGAGACCTAAGCATCCCCCAGGAGAAGAATCCTCTAGCAGGCAGAGCATTGCTGTGGCCCTGCTGGTTTTGTGCGGGCAGCAGAAAAGGCTGGACCACATCATGCCCTATCCTCAGCTGACACTCAAGGCTAGAGGAGAAACCAAAGCTTGGCTCAGTGGCGGCTCCAACCTTGTGCTAGCTAGCACTCAGTTTGGATGGCAGCTATGGAGCCCATGATGAGGGCTCTGGGTCCCTTAGCCCTCAGAGGGTCCCACACCATCAAAGGAATAGATTGACAGATGCTATCTCCTCCCCTAGGGAGTTTGGGACCAAGTAAGAGTGGTCTTCAGAAAGAACCCTTCAGTTCCAGACACTAATAGAACCCCACTTTCACTCTGGGGAACTCTTTAGCACAGACCACCAGACCCTTGGGCCCTACAGCTCCTTGGGAGAACATCCCTATGTCCCAAATCCTGATACAAGGGCTCCCCTTCCAGGACTGAGACCCTCCAGCAGCAGGCTTAGTGGTTTCCTGTGAGATCAGAGTCACTCTAAATTGGGTATCCAGACTTCCAGAGGCCAGGACCTAGGGTCTCAGGCAAATGCGTCTGGGGTGTGATGTGACCTCTCTTACAGACAATGAGACAAGATTGAGGGGCAGCCTTATTGCCCAGGGTGGGGCTTCTGCTGGGATGTGACAGGAGCAGAGCTCCCAGGGGGCTGCCAGCCTCTGGGGAGGCTCTGGGGGCCTGGCCAGTGGCTGCGTGCAGCAGGGGGGCTGCATGCCAACAGGAGGGATGGGCAGGAGCGGGTGGACACTGGGCAAGACACATCTACCTTGTTCCACCAGCCCCATGGTGGTGCCGGAGGCCGCGGTGGACATTGTGGCTGGAGCGGTGGTCTGTCTGCCCACTGTTAGCACCGGGTTAGAGACGAGGGAGGGGGAGGGGGCGGACACAGACGTGGGGAAGGGCGAGGTGAGGAAAGAGAAGAGACAAAGGAAGCAGAAGAAGATTAGAGTTAAAGTTTAGGTGGGGGATGGCTCCAGAATCCCTTTCTCAGGAGAGAGTGAAACAAGATTGGGCCGATAGACACTGAAAAGCAATTGCCTCCTTTCTCCTTAGAACACCCCGGTGGGGCTTCTTGTGCCCTGTGGGGCATGCGGGGCACACAGCAGACAGGACAGTCCCATTAGTGTTGGTGTGACTGTGTGCCCATTCCCGGCAGTACAGCTTCACAGCAAAGTAACAGGAGGCAGGGTGCCAGATGCAGACAGACAAGGAGAGACGACCATGAACGCTCGCACATAGTGTCAGACGACGAAGAAGCCACAGACATAGCTGTCCGGGCACTGGGGCCAACACTGTCCCCCCATGTGGACCCCATGGGTCTCTAACAGACCCTTGAGACTTCGTTCTCCCATCACCCACCCGAACAACTGGGGCAGGCGTCCCATCCAGACCTTACAAGTCACCCCGTACGCAGACCTCAATCTCACCCACCCCCACTTCAGCTGTCTCCCACACACAACACGGTGCTTAGAGTACTGAGGACAAGGAGGCCACAGGGCTGCCCAACAGACGCTTGGACGGATACAGGTGGTGGGCCAGGTGTTGGCAGCACAGACACTGGGGTGTCAAGTGAGGGACACAGACCCAACGACACGGAGGAGGCAGGACTGGGGTGTAGCAGACCTCAGTAGCTACCCAATGAGAAAAGCCAAAAGGCCTTCTGGGCAGAGGATCTTAGGAGTGAGGGCAGAAGCTGGGCCCCCACCAGCCTGGAGGAAAGGGGCTGAGAGCCGGTGGAGGAGGGGGCTTTCTGTAGAACGAGGGTGGCACTCAAACACTGTCTTCCCTGGAGAATAATGTCTCACCTGAGAAATTCCGTGTGGCCAGCATAGTAGTGAGGATGGCTCCCTAAGGAGAAACAGAGCCAGGGCCACCATGTTAGTGTCTGCTCGTCCCCAGCTTACAAGCTCCGCCTCCCAGAGAAGTCAGAGCTCCAGGGCTGCTAGTAGTTGCACTGAGGCAAGTCACACACCCATAGCAAAAGCTCACATTACCCACAAAGCACAGCCTCAAGACTCCTGAGAAGTGGCCATGGCCAGGAAGGCCTGCCACCATGATAGCTAAGCATAGCGGTTCTTAACCTTCCTAAATGCTGCAACACCTTAATACAGTTGTGGTGACCCTTGGCCATAAAGTTGTCTCGTTACTACTTCATAACTGTAATTTTGCTACCGTTATGTTATGAATGACACACAGGACACCTGATATGTGACCCACAAAGGGGTCTCCACCCGCAAGTTGAGAGCCACTCCAACAGGCCCAGGGCAGTCAGGGCTGTCCTCGGGGCTTCGGGGAAAGTCAGGGAAGCAATGGTTCCCAGGCCTAATCCTGTCCTTGACTGGCCAGCAACTATCAGGGTCAGCCCTGTCCGCCTGCCTCCCTAACCTGCTGGGCCCACTGGGACCCTTCTGCTCTGCCCTTTACCAAAGCTGCTCTGGGCCAGTACTCCTTCAGCCCCCAGGATGCTGATGCTGTGCTCTGCCAAGCTCAACCCTCTGAGCTGTGCCAGCATCTGGAATCCTCTGATCTGGACTTGTAAACAGGCATGGATTTGGTGGTTTCTCCTGCTTCCTCTTCTGCAGGTCCCACTGACACCCCTAATTCCAGCATGGGGTCCCCCAGGACGCAGGGATAGGGACCGAGTCCTGCTTACCTTGAGCTTCCTCCTTGCATTGAACTTCTTCAGACATTCCACAGTCTCCTGCCTGTGCATCATCGAGGCCACCGTGGAGCGTTGCTGTCGGGAGAAGGGAAGGTCACAGGGCAGTGAGGCTCTTTAGAAGTATCAGCCTTGTCCCCAGAGGGGAAAACCAAGGAGGCTTAGGAAAGAGGTTCAGGGCGGTGGCACTCTAGCCACGATGACAATGAGAGATCACTTGTTCCCACCTGCTGTCACCAACTTATTTCCAAGTTCAAGTCTAGTCCCTCACAGACCAGGGGAGTGGTCAGACACAAGGAACATATGCCCAGGGCCATCTTGAGGGCCTTGGATATACCCACCAGGAACTGATCCCCAAAGGTCGTCAAGGATGACTTACGCAGACCCATGGGTGCTTCAGGGCCTCATGGGCCGTGATGCGCTTGGCAGGGTTGATGGTCAACATCTGGTTGATGAGGTTTTTGGCTTCAGGAGTAACGGTGTCCCACTCAGGGGATGGGAACTACAGAAGGAAGTGGGGCACAGGGCAAGGCTGAAGCCCCTCCCCGGGGCAGAGCACATGGAGAGGAGGGGAGACCCAGGGTGTGGCAGTCCCCACCCTCCACACCGGCGCCCACTCACATCATAGGCCCCAGCCTTGATCTGCTGGTACAGCTTGTGCTGGTCCTCATCCCAGAAAGGTGGGTAGCCCACCAGCAGGATATACAGGATCACCCCTGTGGATGGGGAGGTGAGCAGCATAGCCCTGGGGGGCACCAGGGTCAGTCCTCAGTGTCCCTCCGTGCCCCTCTGCCATGGGGAGGATGGCACAAACAGCCGCTTATCCCGGCTCCATCTCCACCCTACGTCACTAGGGAGCCTGGCCAGCCTCCTCTGCTATATCCCCACCAGAAAGAGAAGAGCCCACCTAAGGAGCCACCTTGCCCTGTGGTCTGACAGCCCCTGGTCCCTGTATCCTGGTGTCCACTTGCTCTGGGCACAGACCTATAATGAGCACAGGCAGACAAACATAATGGCCTGGGGCACATTGGTAAATGTAGTCACGGTGTGAGAGCCCTGCTAAGGCAGCCCAAAGGCAGGTATGGCACACAGACTTGGCTCAGGGCAGGGTAAGCCAGCCACCTGCACACTGCAGGGCAGAGGGAGCAATCCCAGAAACACTACCACACACACCATGCTACCCAGCTACCTCTCACACACAGGTCTTACCACATGCCCAGATGTCCACGGGTTTGCCATATGCTTCCTTCCGAAGGACCTCAGGAGACAGGTAGCCTGGCGTTCCCGCAAATCCTATCAAAGGGGTAGGGACCATGAAGGGCCATGAGGAGCTGCCAGTACCCTCTGCCCGCCCCCTGACACTCACCAAACCATGCCTGCTGGTCTCCCTGAACCTCGATGGCCAGGCCGAAGTCTGCCAGTTTCACTGCGGCCCCTTTGCATTTGCTGGCCAGAAGCAGGTTCTCAGGCTACAGGGAGAGAGCCGTCAGGGCACAGCGTTCACACCACAAGCAGTTGTGAGGGACGGGGGACAAAACAGAGATGGCAGCAGTTTGCTGGACAGGGAGGCACAGTGTGCCTCCCAACATGGAAGTCCTAGACCTATAGCTCCATTCTTCTCTGGGGTCAAGGATGGCAAGCCCCAGTCATTCAAAGGGAAGTTGGCTCTCAGTTTGAACTTGGATACCCTGCTTCCTAAAATGAGAACAAAATCTCCGCCCACCCTCACAGACAACACAACAGTTACAGCGCAGGGATGCAGGGTTGCCCCACCAGTAGATCCCCAGTCTTGCCCCTCTCCTTTCTGACATGGTGGAAAGTTCAGGGGCTTGGGCAGTGGCTTCACAGGACATGGAGGAACACCCAAGTCCCACCCAGCTCCAGTCAGCACTACTACACAGGACAGAAAGGAGCCACGGGCTGCTTGGTCGTCTGCATCCACAGTGGGAAAAGCAGACTCCTGGAAAATCATTTCAAGTTTCAGCTGGAGGGACATTTGTTTTGTCCTGAAGAAGTGACCATAGAGGTTGTTGTCTCTGGGTTGTTAAGGGCCTGAGAGGCCCCTCTGCTATTGCTTCCCCTGGCCTTTCTTTCTAACCTCCAACCACAGTAGCCTGTCCTGGCAGCTCCCAAGGACCAGGTCTCTGAGCAGCACTCAGCAGGCAGTTCCTGGCTTCTGACCACCAGGGGGCTCTTCAGCCCTTGAATCCCCTTGGTGAGTTCGTAGGTACCCTCTTCATTCCACAGAGGCAACATCATTCCTGGGATCACTCTGTAGCCAAACCACATACTGCCACATGGCCTGCTTTTATTATCCATCTCAGAGACTTTACATGGTGACTCCTGGAACCAAAGTATGCCTGCCCACCTACACAGGAAGATGTGGGCTTCCTGAATTGGGTGCTCAGGACCCATGGCAGACTGGAACTTCACAAGGGCTCTAGCTGTAGTGTGAAGTAAGCAAGACCAAGGCTACAGCTCACCTAGAAGCCCCTCCCCTCTGGTGACAGGCAGGGGTCACACTCAGCCTTGCCCATCTTCATTTTGCCATGGCAGGGGCCCCAGGCTCTCTGCTTCCACATTGAAAATGTGTCAATCAAATGAGAGCTCTAGAAGGGTCAAGGCAAGAAAATCTGGGACCTTGGAGGAGGCAGCAGTCGGGCCAGAGGCGGAGCTGCACTCTGGCTCCTTCACAACCACCACCAGAGACATGCTAGCTGCACGTGCTCTCTCCTGCCTTGTCTTGACTGTGAAGCATCAACCTAGCACTGTGTCATCTGTGAGTCTGCCTCATCAAGATGGTGGGATTTCCTCCAGGAAAGGAGGGACAATCTCAATCGCCCAGACCCGGAGACGTGAGGGAACACATACTCATACGCTTTAGCCTCAACACTAACCTCTGCGAGCGTAGTGCCCGCACCTCATATAATCAGTGACATATACCCCCCTTGTCTCAGGGACCTTGAGCATGGCTGACCCAGATAAGACAGAGCAGGATGCTCAAGGAAGTGAGGACACATGAAGAGATGCAGGAGACATCCTGAGCCTACTCCGTGTGACACCCTCCCTAGAACAGCCGCAAACACTGGCTCTTGGCCTATGGCCTAAGAAAGGAGTGCCCACCCCAGTTTGCACTGAGGCTCAGGGGAAGTTCTGCCTTAAAGACATTCAGGCCAGAACTGGAATCTACAGGGTCCCCAAACAGGTGGATTCAGAAAGAGGCTGAGCCATGCCTTGGAAAAGGATTACAGGGAAGAAGGGGGTGGGGGTAGGGGTCTTTAGAGAGCTCAGAGTCAATTGATTTCTTCTCATAAGGCAGGGTCTCATGTAGACTTGGCTGCCCTCAAACCTGCTATGTACCCTAGGCTAACCTTGACCTCCTGAGCCTCTTACCTCAATCTCCTAGGCACTGGGATTAAAGGAATGAGCCATTGCATTGAGCTACAGATTTTCTTTTGAACAGACCCTGGAGCCCATAGTCTAGATGTGGGCATCACAGAATCAGAAAGAGAGCTCTGAGAGGAATTGGCCAAGCCAGTCCACTCCTGCCCCTGCCCCGAGTTACCCATGTCCCCAGCCTCGAGAGCTCCATCTTGGTAGGGGAATGGAAAGTGAGAATCTGAGTATACCTCTGTTAACCAGATGGTCCTAGAAGTGATAGAGGCACTGGGTTGTAAGTGTGCAGCTACATGTCACATGTGTGCACACCCATGCATGCACACACCCAGCTATTTATATACGCATGCACTCATGCCTCTAAGTACACACATATGAACATGACCCTGCCCAGACCTGGAAACACATGCGTTCACACTCCTTTGTGCAACTATATAGTATGCACACACCTTCCACACCCCTCCTCCCTCGAACGCCACACCTCCTCTTACACAGTTTGTAGGTGAGGATGACAACCTGTCACAGAGCAGAGAAGAAACTCACCTTGAGGTCTCTGTGGACGACCCCCATTTGGTGACAATGGAGAACAGCCTCCAGGATCTGCTGGATGCAGTGACTATAGCAAACAGCAGGCAAGTTAGTTGAGTGGTCCTGGGGTGGCCAGGGAGGGGAGCAGCAACAGGAGGCATGGGGAAGGTAGGAGTGCTGTGGGGTACTGGGGTTCAATCCCCAGCCTGGGGGGAGCAAGGAAGATGAGGGGAATCATGGCGGAAGAAGATGTTGGCCACAAGGGAGTCCTTCCTCAGCCCTGAGGTCAGCTGTTCTAGTCCTTGCTCTGCCTCCCCTGCTGGGCCCAAGACAGGAAAGGGTGGGGCAGGTAGAAGCATGGGTGCCAGGCAATGTGGATAAGCCTGCCTGTTTTGGAGTGGCAACATTGCAAAACTGATGCTTCTTCATTTCAGTAGGTATGGTGCCTTGGTGTCCATCAGCCCAGCCTTATCTACAAGAAGACATCTATTGGGGCTGGTGCCTCGCTAGCCGGGAACAGCTTGAGCACTGGAGTCTTCTCTGTTCCAGCTGTCTCTTAGTTAATGACATCTATCAGTGGTAGATTCAGTCCTTTCCCATCCTTCTACACATCAGGCTAGGCTCAAGGCCACCAGCCCCATGGATGCAGAGGCCCTATAGCTTGTGCTCAACTCCCTGCTGCCCCAGTAGTCTGTGGAGCTAGGCACAAGTCTCATGGGGCCTCACCCTAGGAACAGTGGTGTGACCAAAGGTTGGCTTCCCTGGGATATGGAAACCACCCTTCTCAAACAGCACCCCCACCCCCAAGTCTGGCTATACGTGGACATGACCAGCACGGCACTACGAATTATATTCAAGTTTTCTCCCCACGAAGCTCACCCTTGACTTCTGATGGCTATGAACCTGAGGTTTGTGAGTTCTGAAAGAACCATGTCCAATGTGTGGGAGACGACCTTCCAGAATGCTATCACCTCTCCCCTGTATGGGGGCATTGAGACCTCTTCTTCCAAGCCTTCTCCCAGGGTCCACCTTGGTCCCTCTCCTGTGTCTGCTGCTTTTTAAAGGGGCCATGACACCATAAGGAACCGCCATTTCTTGTGACATTCTATTCTGCCTGGCACCAGAGTCAAGCACTTGTCACTCGGGATGATGCCCAGTCCCATGCAGGAGGTTAGGGGCAAGATCTGTAGGACCGGGCACAGAATGTCTCACCCAAGTAAGCAGAACTCAGTCTTCCCACAGGCCAAACACACATACACTGGAACCAATGGGGGCACAGCTGGAAGTTCAAAATACTTTCCTCAGCCCTGCCAAGTGCAAAGGGCCTCTGCTGAGTTGTCTGCTGGCCTATGAGCCTCTCAGACTATATGAAGTGGAGATCTGGGTCCTGTGGCCCTATTGAGAGAAAACGAGAGCCACAGCCTATGGATCTCCAGCCATGTCTGTGGTCTGCACAGCCCTGCTTGGCTGCCCTCCCTTCTGTCTGGGATGTTCTTCCAAAGGATTGATTTATGTGCAACCATGGTCACCGGGAAGTGCCTACACCGCTAGCATGGGCCAGCCTGCTCCACCACTGCAGGGAATGCTGAGGGACAGAGTCGGCACCTTCCTCAGTGAGCTTCCTCAAGCTCAGTCTTCAGAGAGACCATTTAAAGTCCAGTCAAGGCTCTAGGCCAGGCCCTGAGGGCTTACCCTCTATGACAACATCATCGCATGTGTATAGCACTGCACACTGTCCTATCCTCCTGTCCTCCAGGCGCCCCTCCTGGTGCTGCTGGGCCCCCAGAAAAGCCTCTTTTGGTGCTCAGAGGTCTAGCCCATGCTGCTGGTCTAATGATCTTCCCTTTCTGGTGTAGGGCAGTTCCCACGAAGGTGGAGGCTTCTCATATCTGTCACAGCCACCCTGAGAGGGTCACTACAGAATAAGCTGGTCGGAAAGCCAAGGCTCTCCAGGAGAACATGGCACCAAGCTGTGGGAGGGAAAGTGACAGTAGGGACCTGTGGCAGGCTAGGGCACTCACCCAGCCAGAGAATGGCGACCCAGGGAACTCTCTTTAGGGACTTTACTGCATGCTGCTCTGGCCCACGCTACCTCCATCACCAGGCAGCAATACTTTCTTTCTTTTTTTTTTTTTTTAAAGATGTATTTATTTATTTTATTATGAGTACACTGTAGCTGTCTTCAGACACACCAGAAGAGGGCATCCAATCTCTTTATGGATGGTTGTGAGCCACCATGTGGTTGCTGGGATTTGAACTCAGGACCTCTGGAAGAGCAGTCTGTGCTCTTAACCGCTGAGCCATCTCTCCAGCCCCGCAGCAATACTTTCTTATTGTCTTAGTTTGGAAGTCACTCTGTGGCCTGAATTCACCGTCAAGCAGCATTGGCTAGGTTCTGGACATGGTTCTCAGCCTGGGCCCTAGTCAGCATCACAGGAGCTGGGACTACCGGTGCATGCTGCTGTGCCCAGCTTCTAGGACATGCAAGAATAAGTTTCAGTGCTCTGAAGTTTGTTTTCCTTGTTTTGTAAAAGGACTTGGTCACCTCTGAATTTCCCCCACAAACTCCAAAATAAAAGCTCTGTGTCTCTCTAAAGGAATCTCCAGCTACCTTGGATAGAAATGGGTTCAGAAAAGACCCTCTTGTCTGCCTTCCTGCTCTGAGCATCAGGAATCTGCCAGATGGTGTCAGCCCATCTCCCTGGTGCTTTCTCTCAACCTGAGCACACATTTTACTGCAGCCAGTGTTGGGATCCACCCTGAGGTAGGTCAATGGCTGTGGGGTAGCAACCCACAAGAACAACCTAATCAGACTTCTCATTAGGTACCAAAGTCTAAGGCAGAAGCATAAAGGTCCAGCCAACAGATCACAGGGACTGGAGTCCCAACTGTGTGTTCTCCCTCCTCAGTGTGGGGAACAGCCCCATTGAGAAAGAGCCCTGGGCTACAGAATAATCTTCCTTAGGTACTGGGGCTGTCATACGAGTGGGGTGTGGCCTTTTCATGGGGATTCCTTGTGCACTCCCCCTGATTCTCAGGACTCAGGCTGCCCACCCTTCCTCACAGTCTGAGCACTAAGCATGCACCTCCCTTGGATTCCTAAATACCTGAGAGACAATGCCAATGTCTTCTTGGCCAAGGATAGGTCCAGGAAACCTTAAATACTTGTGACACTCTGTACATAGGGTTTCCCTGGCAAGCAGCGGGGACTCCCGTCCTCTGAGATGTTCATGGAGGTACCTAGCAAGGACACAGAGCACTTTCCTCTCTCAGCCTACAGGTTCCCATGACCCGAAGAGTCTAAGAATGTGGGAACTCAAGGCCACTCTCTGTCTTGAGCCCTCCTGGACCCAACAGGTCTTGGACAGGGTTGTCTCTCCTATTTCTCTCCAGAAATGGAATCTGGAGGGTTTTGATACAGGTCAGGCACGTCAGAGCCACCAGAGGGCGCTGTGTACCTTTCAGAGATAGGCTGAGGCTGGAGCCATTGTGTGACCCTGGATGAATACCAGGACTGTATTCTTGAGGTGAGTTCTGACCCCAATGCTGGAAGCAGCTCCCTGGGTTGTAGAACAAAGCTTACAGGGAACCCCACACCACATGGGGTTATATTAATAGAGGAGGGCCAAGGGCTGGAAGACTTTGATAAGGAGGGAAGGAATACCAGACCAACCTCCCTACCCCATACAGGTTACTTGGAAGGGGCATGGCTTCCCAGCTTAGTGCCCCACATATTTCCGACCTATCATTTTAGGTTAGGGAAAGGGGCACCCGTTCTCTTTCTGCTTCTCTTATAAGTGGAATATAAAGAAAAATTTTATTTTCCTCCAGTCCACAGGACAGACCTTTTTAAAGATGTTTTGCAAAAAATAATGTTTTTTTCTAGGGAAGCCTTTGAAAGGACTCAGTGTCCTTGGTTTCCTGAGTCTGAGGATTGGGGTCACAGGCTTGTCCCACCCTGTCCTTCTCTGTGGCTTGGCCTCTGCTGCCTGGCTCCATGGGGAAGACCTAAGAGGCCACAGTGAGCCAGGATGTCCACGGATTCTCACAGAGACTTGGGGCCTGCAGGGAGAAGCAAGACTTCCTGCTAGTGCAGAACCGAGTCACATAAAGCTCACCTAAATAATATTCGTTTTCTCAATTACAGATATAATGCATATTCATTAAAGAAAGCTTTAAAATAGACAAGATAGAAAAAATTTTTTTTCAAGATAGAAAATTTAAAACGGACCCCTGTATCCACCCCCCACCCCCTGCCTTTAAATGCACATCTATCTCTGTGGCCAGGCAGTGGTAGACAGGGCCCACAAGCAGGGAGTGAGCGTCCACAGCTATCCCTGAGGTAACACCCAGTCAGGATAGCACCTGACATGGGCCCCAGGAGCCCTTCCAGAGACAGACCCATCCTTGCCTCACCTGACACCCTTCAGTCTGGTCCCCAGCAGCTACACCATACACAGGCCTCTCCGGGCCATCTTCCTTCATTGCCCTGGCAAAGACTGGCCCGGAGAGAAAGACTATCCAAACATTCATGAAGAATTTAGGCCTGGATGGAATCCAAGCGCCTCCACTCACCCTCACACCAGAGACCCGTGGATCTGGGGTTCAGTCCTCTGACTGGCATCCTGGCTGGGAGGACAAACAGCCCCTTGGCCCTGAACTAAGGTTTCACATCACCCTGGCCTCTTCCATTGCCCTGGAGTGAGGTGGGCACGCGGTCAGGAGCTTTTTGTGAAGAACCAGCAGTAGCGTTTCTAGCAGCAGTCAGTACAATGTTGTGCTCAGGCCGGGCTGGGCCCAAGGTGGCTCTGGGAGGACACTATGGATGGGGATTGGTTCATGGCCTGTCTTTCTTAGAACATCGCATTGTGTGCTTATCCGTGAGAAGCTAAAGGACTGTGGATGGGATGTCCAAGAGAAAAGCAGAGTGACACCAAGGTTTCTCTCCTTTACCATCCCAAGAAGAGAGCTTCTCTATGTGTAGGCCGGGTGGCTCCCCACTAGGCCCAGACCACTGTGCTGACACTGTTAATCAGCTGACCTCTGAGGGGCCATGGAAATGGCAGGGACACACAGGACAAACGTGGGTTACAGAAGGGGGAGGCATGGCGTTAAATGAGGTTAGGAAAGGGGAGCACGGCGTGAAGCTCCACCCACCTGGCGTCAGCCTCGCTGTAGTACTCTCTTGCCACGATGTCCTCAAAGAGCTCCCCACCAGTGACCCTATGAGGAAAGCACACAGTCATGGATCCTGGAGATCCTCCTCACCCTGATACCCCATCACTGTCACCACCATTACCTATAACCACCACCACCACTATGACCACTGTCACACTATCACTGCCACTGCTGCCACCACAGTCATTGCCATCACCACCACCATTACCTCTACAGTCATTGCCATCACCACCACCATGACCTCTACAGTCATTGCCATCACCACCGCCATGACCACCACAGTCAGCGCCGTCACCATGACCACCCCAGTCAGCACCATGACCGTCACCATGACCACCCCAGTCAGCGCCATGACCATCACCATGACCACCCCAGTCAGCGCCATGACCGTCACCATGACCACCACAGTCAGTGCCATCACCATCACCATGACCACCACAGTCAGTGCCATCACCATGACCACCCCAGTCAGCGCCATGACCATCACCATGACCACCCCAGTCAGCGCCATGACCGTCACCATGACCACCACAGTCAGTGCCATCACCGTCACCCTGACCACCACAGTCAGCGCCATCACCATGACCACCCCAGTCAGCGCCATGACCATCACCATGACAACCCCAGTCAGCGCCATCACCGTCACCATGACCACCCCAGTCAGCACCATCACTGTCACCATGACCACCATCATCACTGCCATCATTGCTAACACCTTATCATCACCACTGCCACCAATGCTACTGTAACCCGCACCATTGTCATTGCTGCTACCATCTCACCACCATGACTACCATCACCGTCACCATACCATCATCACCATCACCTCCATCCTCCCCCCCCCCCCCCAGGGACAACTTATCAAGGGCATACTTGTTCACCCCTGGTGGCATTGAATGCTTCTTTCTTCACACTTGTACCCTGAGAAAACTGAGTTTCTAAGTGGGCTCCCCAGAGCAGGCAGCACACAGGTTTGAGCCAGGACCTCCTAGGATTACACAGCTTTCTGACCCTTAATCCTCAGTCTGAGAATATCTGGCTTTCCCTAGTCAATGCCCCGCTGTCTTGTGCCAGATGTGAGGATCACACAGTGGATTTAGTGCCTGGATCTGGCCTCCATGGTGGGCTGAGGTCTTGAAAGACTTAAATGCCTGTCCCCATGAGACCATAGACAACATAGGTAGTGTACTCTGCCTACACTCTCCTGTCCTTTGTCTCTGTCTCCACCCATCAAATGCTTGTGGCAAAATGGAAACAGCAACACTGTGAATGTGTAGCTTGTATATATGCGGACCAGGAGAGTCAGATCCAGCAGTAGCCCAGGTAAGGGGCTGTTATCCCCAGTGCTATGTGATTGATAGCTTGAGTCTTGGCACAAAAGAAAATTCTTGAATCGAGCTTTGAAAACTCAAGTCTGGACAGAGAAAATGGCATAAGGCCCGTGTATTCTGCTGTAGAGCTGTAGTTTAAAGGATGCTCTCGGAGGTGCCAGATCTGTGCCAGGGCCAGGCTCCTCGAGTTACTGCATGTGTTCAGGCACTTGCATGTTGGTGTGTGGACATCAGGGTCATCACTTGGTCCAGAGTCATGGGGCAGGGAGCTGGGCCTCTACTGAGCGGGCTGATGTGGGGGATATGGGGTCACTGTTGGGAGCCCTGCTCTGTAACTTCCATGCTTAGGCCTGGTGTGTACCAGTCACCTCCCAAAACCTCCAGAGCTCCCAACTCACAGGCCTTGAGGCCTGCTGGAGTGCTACCAAACCACCTCAGAACCTGCAACCCTGGAAGCTCCAGAGGTATGGGAGGGTATTTTGGCCTTCTGTCCAGACCACCTCCTCAGACTCTCCCTGCAGCTGTCTGCCTGGCATGTGTTGGGAGGTCTGAGAAGTAAATGTGTCACACAAACACATATACACATCCATCCCTCCCCCATTCACTCTCTTCTCGCGAAACAAGTGCAGCCATCTACTGGCCATCAGGTGCCCTGGGCATGGCCATCTTCAGCCCACAGGCCCCTGTTTGTGGAGAAGACAAGGCAGTGAAAGACTCTGGGGCACACAGGGGGAAAGTGAGCCTGCCCCACCTCAGGCCATGGGACTGAGGTCTCGGCACAGATTCAGTCAGACTGCAGCCTGTTATGTAGCTGAAAATTCTAGGCAGGGTCTTGTGGGTCACACAGAGGTAGCCAAGAAATAAACAAAGTCCATGCATGGGCAGCCTAGCTCTTCACCAGAAGATGCTCCAAGGCAGAGAATGCTAAGGCCCGCATGTCCAACGGCCTGGACATCTGTCAGGCCGTTTGAGGGAGAAAGAGCTGAGAGGGAGCCCTAGGAAGGCTCCTCATGCTCCCATGCAGCCTGTTGCTCAAGGGCAGCCAGAGGGCATGAGGTAACCATAGTAACAGTACTAGAGCTGAGCTTCCCTGGCTGTGCAGTCTGGAGGCCACCAGGACAGGCCAAAGCCCCTGGGCCCCCAGGCAGCCCAGGGTCCTGAAGCAGCCCTGATTCACAGACAGCTAAATATAGAGCGGTGCTTAGCAGGGGCTGTCAAGATCGAGGGAGATGAAATCATCGCTTCTAAATCCGGCAGGAAGTGAGAGGCGGAGTTGGCCCCGAACGCCTTCTCACTCAGCTACTGCACACACACTCATGCAAACACACTCACATGTGTGCACGCGCCCGCGCGCGCGTGCACACACACACACACAGAGGCCTGTATCCCCAACACACACCCAGTCACACTTATAAAACAGACATGCATGTACACTCCCGGACTCTACACACAGCCTCTCTGCTTACTCTAAGCTCAGGCACTGTCACACATACGGTCATACATCCTTCTACCCACACTTATCAACACGCATGCTTATGCCAGCTAGCTGTGCCCCCAACCCAGCAAGGCAGGCCTCAGGAGGGAGGAAGGTGAATGGGCACTGGCTGTTCTCCATGGTCTTCCCTCCACTGCCCCAACTGACCAGCTTTCTGCCTGGAAGACACCCTCAACGTGTCAGACTCAGACTGTGGGTAAAAACCAGTGCATAGCCAAATCAGTGATGGCTAGGCTGGGTATGGGTGGGAACGAGGTAACCTCCTACAGAGGTGCACTCAAGGAGTGCCCTGATGCAGGGACAGGATGTTCCTCAATCTGAGGAGGCTATGTGTGTCCATGCTGGGAGTGAAAGTAGATGAGGGTCCTTGGATCTGGCACTTACAGATCGAAGACCAGGTAATGGAATCCCTCTTCAGAGATGCTGTCATGGAGGCGTACTGCAGGGACAGAGAAGTCATGAGGAGCAGAAGGTAGCCCAGGATATTCCCTCCTACCCACCTCCACCCTATCAGGGCCCACATAGCACCAGTGCTGCAAGCCTGGGGGAGGGAACTCCTCTCTGTGGCCCACAGGGTCTCCTCCAAGCTAAGGAGGCTGGCTGGGGCCGGGGGAAGATATGAGCTAGCTTGAGTTACTGCATGCTGAGCCTGAGGGAGCACCGCTGAGCCTGGGGGAGCATCACAGAGCCCTAGGGGAGCACCGCTGAGCCTGGGGGAGCACCACAGAGCCTGAGGAAGCACCACTGAGCCTGGGGGAGCACCACAGAGCCCTGAGGGAGTACCACGGAGCCCTGAGGGATCATCATGCAGTTCTAGGCAGCACCTCACTCTCCTACTGGCCCCTTTCTGCACGCCTATTTCCCTTACCAAGGAGAAACAACACAAAGGCTCACTGCTGAACCCCTAACAGGGGCCATGTCGTCGTGGGAGAGGTTTCTGCAGGAAACAAACCTATTTTCCATTCTGGACTGTCCTCAGCAGGACAGGGCCTCCACTCAGAAGGATTACCAGGTATGGCGTCTTTCAGAGACTTCTGACTCCTTTTTGCCAGCGGGATCTAACAGTCTCCCTCTCTCTGGCCTATCCATACCAGTTGCTGAACTTGTTTTCAGTGTCTGCCTGGGCTAGGCTGGGGCTGATGGGCTCTGAGGAAGGAGGAACCCACAGGCTGATGGCGGTGGTGTGAGGGAGCTGCACTCTGCACCGAGCAGTAAGGATTTTCTACGAATGAGTCACTCTGAGCCCTGATCTCCCACAGGCAGATCCTGCCCTTTGCTAGAACAGCAGTGCAGGACAGGGCTGCTCTGCGCCCCTTGTGTGTGCATTAGCTCACCAACCACCCCTGAAGGCTGCAGAAAAGGGAGCTGCAGCAGGGAGGCTGAGGAACCAGCTGAGGGCACACAGCCCACAAAGGGTGAGGCGAGGCTGTGTCAGGGGGCTGGGGTCTGGCTCCAGAGAGTGCACTGTACCAGCCCTGGCCCTGGCGCTCCTGGGATCTTAAGTTCTTGCTGTCTTCCACCACCTTAGACTGGGCCACGAGGCTGGAGGGTGAAGAGCAGCCACCTTCTCCCTGGTCCCACAGGACTCCAGGACCTCAGGCAGAAACAGCCCACACAATTCCTGCTCCTGGCACCCTCCCCTCTGTCCTAGTTTTCTAGCTGGCTGCTAGCACCCTCCCTCCTGGCACTCGTCTTCCCAGGCACCCTCCTGATAGTATCCTTATGCCTAGGAACTCCAATCTGTCCTACGCCCCCACTTGGTTCCAGACACCTTAACCCCATAATGCATTTCACCTCATGAATACCTTTAGCACACCAGGCCCTGGGCCCTCCATAGAGCTAGGAAACAGAAGGACATCCGTTGTGGCCACCAAAGTAGCAGTGTGAATTGGGAGGGGCCAATTACCTGAGGAGGGACCCTCCTTACCTGAGCCCAGTCTGCCGCTCTGTAAAATGGAAGAATCCCCTGTATGTAGGGTGCCATGAATTGTGTTCCTATGTGAAGCAGTGAGTGCTCCCTGAGCCACAGCCCTGTGTCTGTCACTGTTGTCACTGCAGTATAATAAACACCAGATGACTGAGGTGTTTCCTGAAGCCCATGCCAGTGGCCTAGAAGCAGCCACTAGGAATGCAGGACCTTACATTTCTCCCCTACTTCCTGGCTCTAAGCTCAGTAGCATAGCTTCCCTGACCTTACCCAACCCATCCGCTGAGACTCACATCCTGGTTATCTCTCTGGGCTATCAGAGCCCCTTAGTGAGGACAAATCTGTTCTACTTGGCCCCCTAGACTCTCTACTTCTACCTGGGCCTCCACTCTGTCCAGGCTGACCTGTGTCTTCTTAAGTCAAGATGAGTCCCTGGTGCCTGCTGGAACCCTCCTTCTAGGACCTGCCAACAAAATCCCTGAGGCTGAGCCAGAGTGCATTCTTCTGACTCCTTCCTCCTGGGGGTCCTATCAGGGTGGCCTGTCTGAGATGGCTCAGCTTCCTCACCTCTGGGGCATGCCACTGAGCAGAGAAGGGTTCCAGCAGTTCCGGGGGACCTTCTTCCATCTATTTCTGAAGGCAGTGCTCCAAGGAGACCTAGCTTGGAGTTACCCCATTGCCCCCTAGGGTCTCCAGGAAAGACTGCTGGGGGCTGCCTGTCCTCAGCCATCTACCTAGAGACCAAAAAGACTTGGCTCATCTTGACCAAAGAGGTGTGTCCCATCTCCTTTCTAAGACTCAGTTTCTTCCTGCAGAAGGAACTACAGGGCTCTGTTTATATGGAATTAAGGTTGTAGGCATGTTGGCACCATTTTTAAAACAAGTGCTTATTTTAATGGTTTCAAATAAACCTTAACCAGCACATTAGACCTGTGAGTTCACAGAGAAGGCTAAGGAAAACATGACAGAATTGTGACAAAATCTATTTAAGGACACAAAGTAAATGGCACTTTGTGGGCTGGTATATAGAGGTGGTAACCTCTGTATAAGGTGGATAGGTTCACCATAGCTTCTTGCCAGGCCAGCCAGGAGGGTCTGGGTCAGGTGGCCAGCAGCAAACCTCACCCAGAGTCAACCTACTCAGGGGAGAGGAATGGCTGTGTCCCTCTTGTTCTGCTGTGGGACTTCCTGCTACTGGGGACCCCTTTTCCTTTTGCTCAGCAAGTCTCAAGGGCTCAGACTCCCAAGCCAAGCTAGGGTTGTAGCTTCTGAGGGCAAACAAGTTTGGAACACCCAGACATTCGAAGATTTGAGGGGTCCTTCTGCTTCAGGTCAAGCATGTGATATCAATAGCGGGCTAGCTCTCAGAAGTCCTGGCTGGAGCAAGCAACCTAAGGCAACCTGGGAGTACCTCTCCTAGCACAAAAAAGGCAGGGATTTATAAACGTGTGCTGATGAATCCTGGAGTCTCCCTGGGGATGCTGCTGCGCTCAGGGACACATCCAGGTGAGGCATACACTGTCTGTGCTTAAGGAGAAGTATCGCACAGATACGAATTTGAAGGTCACAACCTAGTCTGGAAGCCTCTTCACCTGGAGGTCCTGTCTTGGGTGTCACAGGGTCCAAGATCACATAGGTTCTTCTGTTCATTCACCTTCTTCCAGACAACCCTGAGGAATGAGTTGGCCCTCTTCCCAAGAGGGGCATCTAAGCAAATGTTCTTGCTGCTGCAAGTGACCCAAATCAGATCACCCCTCTCTCCCTTTCCACAGCACTGCAAAGGTCAGACCACATGGAAGGGTGCTGCACCTACTCAGCCCTCTTTCACTCTGAAGGAGACTGGGCTGCCCTAGAACAAACACTTGACCAAGCCCTGTCTAGATGCTAGGGATCTGGCATCTGGGAGTTGAGGGATTGATTTTATTGCTGGTCCTGGATAAGGCCATGAGCCTCACTCACAATGAGATAGCTCAGCAGGTAGGAACCCTCAGGTGCTCATCATGATGGCTGCAAAACGCATCCTAAACCCTATGGTGCATTTCCTCCATGGGAGCTGATTTGCCCTGGCTGTGGGCTTCAAATAAAGTATGCATGACAGGTACCATGCAAACTAGATCATCAGAAGGCACATGGTTCCTCAAAGAGTTAAACAGGGTTCACATGTTTAACAAGCTGCCCCCAGAAGTATACTCAGCCTATTGAAGGCAGAGACTCAACCTGTGTACCCCATCAGAGCAACACCAGTCACAATGGCCAAGAAAGCAGCCCCAAGTGTCCACCAAGAGATGGATGGACAAACAAACAAAATATCATTCAGTCTTCAAAAGGAAGAAATTCTAGTTGCTGTGGTGATGCATGCCTTTAATTCCAGCACTTGGGAAGCAGAGGCAGATCTCTGAGTTCAAGGCCAACCTGGTCTAGAAATAGAGTTCTGTAGGTTACATAGAGAAACCCCATCTCAAGAAGAAGAAAGCAGAAGAAAGGAGAAAGAAGGAAGAAGGTGTTGGAGAAGGGGAAGAAGAGGAGGGAGAAGGAAGAAGAAAAAGGAGGAGGAGAAAGAAGAAGAAGAAAAGGAGGAGGAGGAGGAAGAGGAAGAGGAAGAGGAAGATGAAAGCGACCCCATAATGAAAAAAGTCAGTCATGGAAGGACGGACCATGTGTAGCTCTATTTCTATGAGGCTTTGGGATTGGTCAGTCACAGACACGGAAGCAAAATGTTGGGTCCAGAGACAGGGGGAGGAGAATGGGGAGTCGTTTAGTGAGGGTAGAGGGATGGGAAAGAGGAAAATGGTTTGGCCATAGACAGTCAGCCCACTGCACTGTAGATGTAGTCAACGTCATAGAACTGTGCGTCTACACGGGGACACTGTCATGT